TCTAATGTAATTAACCCACACTTATATAAATACTTCTTCCTATAAGACAGGGGCTAATACAAGGGTTGATCTGTGCAATGTTTTGTGTTAAAAGTCTTCTATTTCATATTTGTTAGTTTGGAAATCATAACGTATTTTATTATGCAAATAAGGCTTTTTCTAAGATGTACAGTATATGTTATTTAGATTATAAGTTGTTAATTGCATCTTTGCCTATGTATACTGTACAGTATATGTAAATATATAGTTTTATATAAAAAAAAAGAATTATTGGCCTTTATGTTAGAATGTAATACACCCTTTCTCACTATTATATACTGTACTTCATTTTTTTTATGGTATGGAACCTCTAAATCTTGACAAGAGCTTAGGGCTTCAGCATGTCTTAATACAGCCCTCCATCTAGCACTGATTGTAGTGATAATATAGTTACTACAGTACAGTGCAATACAATACAGTGCAGTGCGGTGCAGTGCAGTGCAGTACAGTACAGTACAGTACAGTACAGTACAGTACAGTACAGTACAATACAGTACAGTACATTTAAGTTTAGTGGAAATAAGTTTGGTGTAATACTGTACAGTACTGTACATATTTCTACTTTAATGTTAAGCATGTCAGACTAGCCAAAGTGCAGTGCCTCTCTCCACCCACCAAGGCTCCAGCAATCATATAGGAAAGTAAGTGTCCTGGAGTGTTCAGTTGTTAATATGGTTTTAAAGGGTAATATCAAATGAATAAAAATATTTAAAAGGTACTGGATACAGGGAAGTGTACAGATGAGGAGTGTGTATGATAGGTGTAAATTTGGAGGAGAGAATAGAAATGTCTAATAAATATGTTAAAGAAGAGATACTGCATGAACCAACCTTCTGGAAAACATGTAACAACACACAAGTGAACATATTGGACGTGGCATGCTATATGTTTTACCTTGATAAGAGATGAGTTTATCTTGGGCCACTGCAGGATGAGTGAAGGAAGTAGGTGAACTTTTGACAGTTTCTCTAATGCATCTTTGTTGGTTGGTCCACTCAGTCTACTTCCCCGACCTTGCCTTCCTCTGTCACAATAAAAAGTGAGTTAGTGAAATATTGTACAGGCATCCCTCAAGGTACAGAAGCTTGAGTAATGGAAATTCACATTAAAGGAACTAAAAAATAATAATATGAAATAATCTTTGAAATACAGAGGAAAAACTTCCATTAGTTACTGGGACACTGCACAGTACAGTACTGGTATTGGTTTGCTCAGATCCTATGAAGAATCTCTACCCCAACTTATTACACCTAAAGATTAACCACCTTAATGCTATTTGTGGGGATGAGGTTAGAATAGCTTAGCATTTGGGTGGTTAATCTTGAGGTGAAATAAACTGGGGTGGAGATTCATCAGGTGATCCCACTATTACAAGGTGCAGTAAACTAGGTAGGGGGGGGGGACCTTTCTGTCTTATACAGTACTGTACTGTGTATTCCTTTTAATTTGTATACATGTTAAAAGTTTTATAAGGTAAGTTTAAAATTCAAAGACCAAAATATTTTGTGCATGGAAAAGTTAGCCACAGATCTGTAATGTGCAGTTAAGGGTCCAGGAATTTGGGGTGTATGTTTTAGGGCTGCAGTCCCATACTGTACCTTAGATTTCCCACTGAAATACATAGAATGATTTAACATGATTCAACACCACCCACATCTGCTGTGCTGATAGTGAAGTGAAAGAATTAAACATTAAACTTTGAGATGACAATCACAGATTCATATCATTCTTGAAGGCAATCCTTTTTTTTTTTTTAAGAAAAAGTAATATTGTACGAGTATCATAACTAATTAACATAACACACTTTCAAATATTATTGGTAAAGGTGGAGGAGACAGTTACCACCAGAAGTAACTTATGAATCAGAACCAAGAATCCTGGAGATACCATTTGCATGACACTGAAAACGAAAATGCAAACAAGAATATACAGAACCTATTAGAACCTGACCTAGCCTTATCTAACATCCTAATCTGTGGACACTTTCAGCAGACACCAGAAAGAAGTTGGAGGTTGTTTAAAAGTGGTGTTATAGGAGAATGCTAAGAAAAGGCTAAACTGAGAGAAAAACAAATGAAGAAAGTACCAAGATTAGCAAGAACTTCAAGAGAAATACTTGAAATGTACAGAAAAAGAATATTGAGATACGTGGTCATATAATTAGGTGATGAGGGAATAATAACAAATACCAATGGGCAAAGTTGAGGATAGGAGGGCCCAAGGGGACAGGGGAAGGCAGAGACTGGGATGAATGAAATAAGTTAATAACTGGGTTCCCAGAGAGATACGTAACCTCAGAGGATTGGTAAAAACAGCCGTAGAATGTTTAGAGTGGAGGAGTCCTCCACTCTAAACATTCTCGGGCTGTAGTCGCCAACCCACAGATATGAAGATATGAGGAAAGTACTGTACTGTACTCTGTATAATTGATCTTTAGATTCTGTCACAACTGCAGTTGAATATGTATAATTACAAACACAAAGCAATTGCTCAAGCACGATATCAATTACTATGGAAGGAAAATGCAGCGGTTAAAAAGATATTTACTCCCATAAATTGTATTTCAGAGACTTTCAATTCATATATAACTAGTTTGAAAATTCGGGATAAGTCTTTCGGGTGCCCACTCACACCCGAGGACCCATCCGGAACTTTCCAATAATATTGTTGGACTACTAAATGGTAACCCGACAAAATTTGGTTTAAAAAATTAATTACGGCTTGGAGGGCGCTTTCGAGATACAGTAGAACGTCGATATAACACGAGATAGGTTCAAAGAGAGGTCGCTATAAACTGAATTCGCAATAAATTGAATTGTTGTTTCAATGGAATAATTTAGTTTGGCACTTGAGAGAAACACAAAATACTAAAAAGACTGAGTCCACCCAGATGCACCTCAGCCCATCTCCAAGAATAAAAAAAATATTGTTTTTTGTAGTACAGGAGTATTATGTTAAAACAAACACTCATAAATCGACACAGTTAAAATTAAGGGAATGTGAAATGGTCTGTTTACTGGCTGGGAAGATGGGGGGAGGGAGGGAGGTGAGGTGATATGTTTGGAATTCTTATAAGATAGTGATTAATTTGAATATAAACATGCTATAGCTCACATTAGACATACAAATTTTAGTTCTAATTTAAGAATTTTTTTTACAAAGAGCAAACATTTTTATCTCTTGTGCAAAATATATGACGTTTATATTCAAATTATTCGCTGTCTTGCAAGGATTCTAGCAATACAAATTATATTCTCTTAACTTTAGTCTGTGACATTATATAAGATAAAAACTTTAAGCCTAAAACACCAAACCCTGACTGGGAAGATGGGGGGGTGGGGGGGGGGGAAGTGACAGCAACATGTTTGATAGTTGGCACCGAAGGTCTAGTGAAGTATTTATTTGTTTATTTATGTCCTTTAGCTTGAGTTTATGTTTTTTTCTTATAAAATGTCACATTAGTGACCGGGGAGAATAAAATTTACATTGATGGAATTCTTAAGATAGTGATTAATTTGAATATAAACATGCTATAGTTTGCATGAGACAAAAATTTTAGTAATCATTTAGTACATTATTTGGAGTACATGTACAGTACAGCTTTGCCCTTAGGACAGTGTAGCATACCCATAGAATCATTAGGAGCAAAATTTTAAATATGATGCACCAGATTGACTTGCGCAAAATAGGAAAGATTCGCTTTAAATTAAAACATTGTCCTTAATTGTGGGTGTCGCTTTAAATCAATAATCTTAAATTGAATCGCTTTAAATCAACGTTCTACTGTACTGAGTAACTCGAGTGTTTAAAAAAATGGCCAAATGTGTGGGAGCAAGAGCGAACCTCTCGCCAGTTAATACAACATGCGCAAAGAGAATAGAAAGTGTTTCGAAGGAAACCTTTACTTACAGGCATGTGGTGTCATTTCCTGAACGGCTGCAAGAGGTAATTGCCAGCGGTGGAGGATGGACAGGTGACTGGTATGGTTATTTTGGTAAATTGGGTTGTATTTGTTATACAGTGGTCCCTCGGTTAACGAACACAATTCGTTCCAGAAGGTCGTTCGTTAACCGAAACCATTGTTTCAATGGGATTTTGGGTAATTGGTTCCAGCTCACCGAAAATTACATACAAACTAAAAATAAATGCAGTAAAGTACACTTACTTTGATGTGTGCATGTAGAAGGCTCCTGGTTGTTGATGATGATGATGATGGGAATTAGAAGTGGGGGTGGAGGAGAAGGGAGAAGAGAAGGCAGTAGGGGTGGAAGAGAAGTCACCCCATGCTTCATGCTGCCATTTCACCCTTAAAATTTTAAGTTCACTTGGTGTAATTCAAGATAATTTTCTTTAAATCAACACTGCACTGCATTATATATTGTCAATATGTAAAATAAATTTCAGAATGACCAATAATTGTACTGTAAAAACATAAAAATAGTTTATGTTCAAGAAAGTCTCAAGCAAGATGCTTCCTCCACTGAGCAGACACAAACTGACGCCATTCTGGGTGAGTCAAGTGGCTGTTTGGCAAGCTAAAAACTAGTTCCCAGTACTTCAATTATGTTAAATAATTGGTTAAAATTACTAAAAATTTTAATACAAGACTTGGAAAAATATTGAATAGTACAACCTTCTTGATATTTACTCAAATGGTAACGAATTTAAGCCCTAAAACCGATTACTGTATTGGCGGACTAATACTACAGCTGGTGAGCAGGCGAAAGCAGGCGAAAACGTTGGGAAAAATTCGTAAGGAATTCGTTAACCAAATTTTTTTCGTTAATCGAATTGAATATTCTTATGGAAGGTAATTCGTTAACCAAGGGATCACTGTATATGGCTCTATTTTGGATGGGTTAGGTGAGCCAAATAGGTGGGTTGTATTAAAATTGTTGTATAAATTCATTTATGCATGATATGATTGGTTTTTGTTGGACAGGTTAAATATACGAGACAAGTATTTGAGTTTTTTTTATTATAACCTCCATTTATTTAGCCCCTTGAAATAATAATTCACGTCAAAGCACAAATCGTATGAATTAACACCACTTGGGTAAATAAACAACGTAAGAGTCGTTATCAGGTCCTCCACAAACTTATCACACCATATAATATTATGAACAACAGCAATGATGACTTTTTTATAATGAAAAAAATGTGAGACCTCATGAATAAGATTTTTATGAATCAGAGGCAAAATTAAGGCATTCATTAAATAAATATTTTGAAGCAAATGGTTTCATCCTAACGCTGCCCACACTAGAGTTCGAGACTGGTTCATTCATATGGGTTTGATAAGTGCCCTTTTTACTACTCAGAGAGTTGCAGGATGTCTCCACTGGCCACAGCCATGTGGGGTAGAATATTCTTCCGCAACTGTACAATAAAATTTGAGAAACCATTGTTTACATCTACTACTACAATCCTACAGTACATGTACTACCTTAAAAATTCTATTACACTTGCTGCTACATCTCTTAAAACAACCCTGGTAATGGTTCTCATGAAATAAGTTATAAAAACTTAAATTAATGAATGATATATATTCATGAATCAAGAAAATATAGAGTACATTAGTTATAAAGTTAAATACTGTAATATACTACTGTACAAGTACTGTACCTGTACTAATTAATATACAGTACATAGCTTTACTCTATTGACATATGTACACTACTTTAACTTTAGAAGATACTATTAAGGCCACATATTATCTGCAAACAAGTATATGGTATTTACCATGGAACAAAATCATATTCAGTACTTGGTGATTACCTCATCATTGATGTACTGTTCAAAGAAAAATATGGGTAAAAAGGAGACAATATTACTACAGTATTTAAGAAATAATAGAATATGAAAAGTTTAACCAATACCAGGAAATAGTTCTACAGGTTTCATTAGTCTAAGAGGCCCAAATTTTTATTTTCAGATTTTTTGGGAATGCGATCCTTTCATAACTCAGAGACTGCCTGTACACAACAAGGATATACAGTACAGCATATACAACATAGATACAACTACATTATAATATATAATGACAAGTAGCAATATGAACATGTTACCACTACTGGTCTCCCAGCAGGACTAAGTGAGTAGCAGCCAATACGGCAGTGCATAGGCAACAAGAGTTGCCAGATGCCAACACTACCAATATTTTTGTTCCTTCACTGTTAACATATGTACAGTATCTCAAAAAATTATCTGCCAGGATAAGTTCAATGACTTCCTAAATGCTACGTGCAACTCATTATGTCCTGGGAGGGCTGGTATGCATGGCTCTGTGGCATACTGATCTTGCTACATTTGGTAACCAAACATCATATCAATTATACCGAAATAAATACATAATGCATTATTTATGTTAAGCTACTGTATATACCAAAGTAAATGCATGTCCCAATATCTATCATTCATTGTCTCAATGTTTCGCACAGTGTGTGTGGACAGATATCTTTTTGAGAATCTGTACATTAAACTACAAAATGATATACGGTACTGTACTGTAAATACATCAATATACATATCAATGTAGAGTACAATACAGAATATAGTGTGGTTTTATTACAGTACTGATGTGATTCAGGAGTAAAAAAAAAATTAAATTCTATGGGGAGGTCTGAGATTTTCAGTGGGCTAAATTTAACCCCATTTTCCCTTCTGAATACACTTATTATTCTTAATTGGTTATTGAGTGTGGTATTTCCCAGGACTACATTAATGCATTGTAAAAAGTCTTATTAGACTTATATTTCTTATGTATTTCATATGATAGGAATTAAAATTCAAACCAAAAGTAGCAGTGTCAAAAGAAAATCTGAAGAGGCCAACTATGGTACACTCTAGGACTAAAGTCATGGACAACCGTATGGAACAGACACTATTGACCTCTGGGAAAGAGAAAACAAATTAAATGCCATATGGGTACTTAAGTGCATGTGACTTTTAAAGTAGTATTTTAATTTAGATTTTTGAAGTTATTAAACTTTTTATTTTATTTATATCATAGCATACATTTAATTTATGATTTTTCCTCATTGTCAGAGGTTACTAGTGTAGGTTCCAAGCAGCTTCCACAATTTTATTCCTACAGTGTAGTTACATATATATACTGTAATCCCATGCTAATAAATTATCATTCCTTATTATTAGGAAACAAGTCTGTTGTTTTTACTTAAATTATTGTAAGGTACAGTATATTCTTGGTCGGTGAATGTAATGCACTAAAACTACCATAATGGAGGTACATTATATGAGTGGTTACAATCCTTATTGCAAATATAATGGTGACACAAGGTGAAACAGATGCAACAAGCTTAAAGGAAACTAAAAATTTAATCTCTTTACCCTTTTGTTGCATTAAAGTGAATCAAAACTTTCATCTTTCTTGACTGTCTTATAACTAATCTTCTGATTATGCTCACTAAGATCCATCATCAGCCTTCACGATTTCTCCATTAAAATTAATACTCTTCAACAAGGCAAAACCCTTTCGTGGTCTGGACTCTAGACCATTAATTCAAGATTCTAAACTCTGTACATAATGATGCAATACAGAAAATGCAAAAATAAAATGTAACTACATTTTAAGTTTTGTTTTGTGTTGAAGAATGATACATTTGAGCAATCCACATAAATTTTACTGAATCATTAATTAAATCATGTTGGAAAGTTACTGATAATTTGTCAACAAAAGGAAAAAAAAGAGTTTTCCTTGTTAAAACAAATGTTGATCTTACTTTGCATAAATATTGAGGACAGTGTTCCCATACTCTAAATATATCATGGGGAATGCATTAAGCTGATGCTCTATGTGCATGAACTTGTTTGATGAAGTTATAGAGCAGAGTATGGAACAAATTGGGATTATCAAGGTAAGCTGGGTGCTTTGCCTGAGGTATCTCTATATCCTGAGATGTGGGAATTCGCAGCAAGTCATCTCGGGACGAATGACCAAGAGTGCGATCATTCTCTCCATAGATGATTAGAGTGGGGACCTGAAAATAGACATTCAAAAGTTATTAGATAGACCAAATTTCATATTACATTTACAGTACAGTGTATAATCCATTCAGTTACAAAACTGTGCAGTAGTGCAACCTCGAAAATTCGAATTGCATGGGCCCATGAAGTACACAAATTTAAGAAAAATTAAAATTTTAGATGTATGGAAGTGCCAGAGCAAATTGCTGTATCAAAACATGCTACAAAAATTATTTACATATCTAAAAACTGTCAATAAGCAATAGTTATAATAAATTAAAAGTATGACTGTACTGTATTTATATTCAACAACATTTATTCTAAAATATTTCGAAAATTTTAGCTACAGTGGTCTTGAATTATTATGGCGATATTTTCAAATTCGAAACCTAAAATTTTGGCACTTATTTTTAATGAGATACTATTCAACTTTTAGATGTATCCGAATTTTTGAGGTTTGAATTTTAGAAATTTCACTACAGTATTCTAAAATACATAATGTAAATACAGGTACTGTACTGCATTATATTGAAGTTAATTTCCTCTAAAATATGTTGCACCAAGATAAATTCTTTAGCTATGTATAAATTTTTTGTTCAACAGAACTATAATTACCCACAATATCCATAGGGGCAAAATACAATGGCCCATGATAATTATTTTAGAATATTGTACTATGTACAGTACTTAAAACATTTTCATAAAAATTCTATAAAGACTAAAGTCTATGTACTACTCATATATTACCTTCAGTATACACTTATCCTCTGTATTTGCTAGGGTTACATTCTTGGAAATCTTTGTGAATTTGCAAATACTGAATTTAATAACTTAAGGAAAAAATTGGGTTTGGTACCATGGCTACCAATAATATAAATTTTGTCATAATATTTGGGGTTAGAAATGATAAATGTTTCAGAGATGGTGTTCATGTTTATATGAAATGGGTTTTTGTAATACAAATTAATAAATTTTAACAAAACATAATTGTTTTCTCTATGCATAATTCAAGTCTGATTATGTAAATAAACATACAACTTATATCACTCAGAATATTATAGCTTGCCCTACTAAAACTGTTTTCTTTAATACAGAGTAAAGGAATAAAAATTACAATACAGTAATCTAATAAGGCACAGAAATAAGAAAAAAATGAAGGGCATAAGTGTGTATGTGTGGAGGCAGTGAGCTGTACTGCGTCACAGAGGACCGCTGACTCGCCTGCGTCCCTCCCACCAGTGTGACGTCACGGCACACACACACACACAAAAAAAGATCAGTTAGGTGATTGATTGCCTGACCAAACTGTGTGGTTGCACTTTAATGATGGTTTGAGTGTGGAAGGAGGTATTTTATATACATAAAATATGTGCTACCCGTATTGTATTTTATATATACAGTCAGTTCTCGACTTTCGACGGGGTTAGGGACCGACGACCAGGTCGTAATTCGAATTGGTCTTAAGTCGAAAATGCGAAAATAATACATAGAAAATCTAAAATGGGGGTCTGTTTTTCTTCTCAGCACCACGAGAACTCTCACTTTTACACTTACCAGCCATTTTAAAGAGAATTACAAACAAAAATTTTGTCAGTACACAGCGCGATCACTAACGTCGGGACTCGAAAATACGTAATATGGAAAATATTTTATACGACTGTGGCGGTCGTATGTCCAGGTGGTCATAAGTCGAGTAGGTCGTATGTCGAGGAGTACCTGTACTATGTATCAATTTTATAGTTTATCATAGCAATTTTTCTTAACAAAGCAGTTATGGCACTACTGGCAGACATGAATGAATGACTTCAGTTGCCTTTGGAGTGTTGGAATGCTGTAAGATTCAGATACAGTACTGTAGTTGGAATTTGGATAAAAAGAACTGCACTGTAAATCAAATCAAATCTACAACATTGGGTTTACTGTAAAAGTTGAGATGTTCTGTATACAGTGGTCTGACAAGAATGAGGGAGGTTGTTGGGTGTTACTAGGTCAGTACCGCAGGAACCAACTTTTACCAAAGGGTGCTTAATATTAATTCTGGTGCCATGTAAAGTACCTTATACCCAAAATATCAGGGTGCTACAGTACTCTCCCTTCCCACATCAATGTATTGGGTAGAGTGAGAATGGGGAGGACGATGCCTCACACACAAGAGAACCGACTAACCTGTGTGTGTGTGTGTGTGGGGGATGCGCATCTGCCAACGATCGGTCAAAAAAGTTCAAACAGCCTCACAGATAAATGAATTACGATAGCGAATCTTGAATAAGTGCCACTAATAATTTTCCGAGGGAATAAGTGTATACAGCACTGTATAGTACTTTAATTTTATGAGTACTATATGGAATATCATGGTTCTATAAAGCAAAATATTTCAAGTCTTATTACAAAATCAGGCAGTACACTGTAACAGGAAATATTAATTGAGATCCAAGCAGGAATACTGTACAGGTATCTGTCATTTAGTGATCGTTTATTTAGCGAGATTTCTTATTAGCGATTTAAAATTCTTAACACCCTTTGCTATTTTACGATCTTTAATTTTAAGTTTTGCTATCTTTGACTAACTGGGAAAAATTTGGGTGGAAAGTTGGAAAAACTGGAGATTCAGTGCTCGAAGAGCACGTCATTACAATACTGTTATGTGGCTTAGAAGTAAAGAAAATACTGTACTGTATACAGTACAGTCAGTACAGTATCTTACAGTTTTCTAATACTGTATTGAACAGGAAAGTCTTAGATAACGATTGTTCTACTAACAACTATTCATATTTAAACCCTGGTTAATTTTGGACCCAATTCAATTTACACCATTTTTTTTCTTCGTATTTACGACGAAAATAGAATACAAATAAAATAAAATTACATCTTCATATAAATAATAACTAAATCCCGATATGTATTATACACAAAAAAAACATGCCTTGCGCACGGAGGCTGCCGGGCTTGTGAGTGGACGCCAGCACTAGTGTACCGTAAACAGTTGCAGCTTGGTGGGCCTTTTGTTTTTATGCATCTGAACAGGAATAGAAATACTTTCTCAGGTTTCTTACAGCATTTCTGTCCCAATTCAACATGAACAAGAGAGCAAGTGATGGTAGTGCTGGATCAAAAGTTAAAAGAAAGTGTATAAGCTTAGCCGAGAAACTAGATGTGTTAAAACAATATGAAAAGGGTGAGAGGTCTGTGGATATTATTTGGAGCAAGCAATGAACACATTTTCTGAAGTGGATCCATTAACAGAACGAAGCATTAAAATTAACAGGGACGTGAAAAACGCATATGACCTCTAAATAAAGATGTATAATGAGAAAAGAAAGCAGCTGTGCAAGGTTCTTTCGACAGCTTTATTATTCAAAGGCCTAAGCCACCAACTTCAGCTACACCATCAAATTCAGCATCATAGCAACTTCAGCAACAACTTCAGGTTCAGTTACAGTTTCAGCAACAGCTATGACATTTTTATGGAAAGCTACAGCTTCAGCCAGAGTTGAACCTGATGACTTTGTCATCTGAGTAATAACTCATACAACATTCATTAGCTGTCCTTATGTTTTAGACTTTACCACCATTGGTGAGTAGAATTTTTGTTTTACACTTGTGAGTAGTATTAATTAAAACATATATGAACCATAATAAGTGTTGCTTTCATATTCTTATGTAGAGAAATGACAATATGTTTTCACAATTACATAGATTGGCGTTCCCAATCCATTTTGCTGTTTTTCTTTGCCATTAGCGGTTAGCTACTTCTATTGTTCCATTTATTAACATTAAATAACATTACTTAAAACATAAACTGTATACTGTATTAACTTTTTACATTAATTTTACTACAGCTACAGCCAGGGTCTTATTTTCTTCAGTTTCTTATGTAGTACCATCATCACAAGCGTTAACACTCACAAAAACAATGCTGTCTCATCTCATCTTTTGTGTTTTAATATTCTACAAATTATTAATGAATTTGTATTGTTCATTTCGCATATATACTGGGTAAACATTAATTCAATCAAATACATATTCAGTAATAAGCAATAATGAATCTTTTGTACATATTCTTAATAAGATAAATGACGCTATGTTTCCATGAGTGCACACGTATACGTTGGCATTCCACTATCAGGCTCTCACTTGTTTTCTTTAACATCAGTGGTTACTTTTACAGAACATTAAGTACATATTTTTTTTACATTAATTTTACTACAGCAACAAACATGGTCTTATTTTCTTCAGTTTCAGATGGATAACTGGCATTATGGGTGTAAACACTGACAACAACAATGGCATCCCATCTCCTCTTGTGTGACCAAATTATTATTGATTTATACCGTATTGTATAAGATGCATTCATAAACATTATTTAAAGAATATAGTTTGCATTTTTCATTAATTTTATTGTTTTGGGGGAAAGAGGGTAAAAAGCCACACAAAAGATATGAAAAGATCAGACTTTGGAATACATCTCATTATTATTGCTTTATTTTAATGGTAATTAACGATTCATGATACGATGATTCACTTTACACTGCAATATTGGAGGACACATTATTGTCGTTATTTGAGGCTTTACTATATACAGTATACTGTACTATAAGTTACAAAATGTGAAGAGCATGGGTGTGAATGTATGGGAAGTGAAGGTCTGTATTGAGGCAGTGACTGTGACCAGCGGCACTCTTCCCCACACCACCCCCTCCCATGTGAGCGTCATGGCATATAGGCAACAGTCAGACAAGTCTCTTGAGTCAGCTTGGTCAATGCCCATGTGAACTGTGATACGTGTATATTGTACCAGTAAATGTGAGGAATAAATAAAAATAATAATAAATATAATAAAAGAAAAAACTCTGCATTGTCATTTGGCATTCAATTCACTGGACACAAGGCAGAGAACAGCTGAGAGATCCCCACACTGTTCCTTGCTCTCCCTCCTCCGCTCTGTTGGCTAACTGCCGACCACGTAAGAACTGTTTATTCCCTTTACGTTTTTGACCTTATGATATATTTTTTA